TCTTCTAATACTCCCTACTAATACTCTCCTCCTCTCCTCCCCTCCTCTCTCTCTCTCTCTTGAGATTCTCGCCGATGCAATTAATATTTGCGCGCGAAAATAAATCGCGTCGAAAGCGGTTCATTTGAATATAAAATAGCAGCGAGACGGGGAGGGGGGGATCTTATTCCAGGCCAATTATTTCGACCAAATATCCGGTTATCTTTCCCCTGTCGTGGAGCCAGACAATGTGGAAAAAATTCGCGAGCTGAAAAGAAGAAGGGTGGACTGCCTCTGTTTGGGTAAACAGAATTATGGCGCGGTGTCGGAAGGTCAGGCGGGGGGGGAGGTTGGCTTGGCAGAGGTCCTTGCGACGCCAGTTAACTTTTAATCGGATGCAAATTACGCGCTAATTACCGCGCGACCGTCGTATTAATTAGCCGCTTGGAAAAGTTCCTCGAAACGCCGCGTTTTTTTCACGCTCTCTCCTCTCCTTCTTTCTCGAAATCGTTTTTCTTCGAGAGATAAGAAGGGACGATTCGTTTCCACCTTGGAATTTCTTCAATTCTTCAACCAGCGTCTCTCTGATGTTTCGTGAAATTGAACGTTCCTTTTTTTGTTTTTTTTTCTTTTTTTAATTAATCCTTTCGATGGAGGAAGTTTCGAAGATGGAAATTCGAATTGTATTGGAAGTCGAGGGAGAATCGATAAGTTTGGAAAGTTTTGTGTCCATCCTCGTGAGTGGATTGGAAGTTCTTCAGTTCTGTAGTTGATAACTTCTTAAGTAGAAAATTGAGCAGCTTTTTTTTCTGAAAGCGTTCGAGACTTTGGAAGAAATACTTTTTTTTTTGTTGTGTGTGTGTATGAAAATAGTGATACTGATGAATTAAACGTTTCTATCTTTTCGAACGAGGCGTAGTAAAAATAGTGAACTTGCTCGCTTCCTCATATTTCGTGGAAAACGATAAAGCGAGTTTTAACGATTCACCATGATGCTCCATGATGAGAAAGATTAAGACATTCCTGTTTACTCCGCGATATACATTTCCGCGATATACAATTTCAAAGTCGAAGTCTAACAATTTTTCCATCTTTCGATTAAATTTCGCTTGGAGAGAGTTTAGAAGAAATCAGCAAAGATCATCGTCGATGAATATTTTTTAACCAAAAAATAACTTTTCCTTTCTGTTATTTCGTCTCGAGATCTAATTGAAAGAAACTTCATTCTTCGAAATATTATTATCCTTTCAATTATATTAAACGAGTCGATGATGTAACCGGTTCAATTGCAAAGTGTAAGATCATTTTTTCGATCGATAGTAGAAGAGAGTTGGTGAGAATTATTTTCGCCCAGACACTGACGAAACGTAATATCGAGTTAACAGACCGAGAGGGTAATATTCAATGATTCTCAAGGGATTTTAATTCGAACTTGGAGGTTGAAAAGTTTGTATTGACACCGAATGCGCGAAAAGTAAGCGTCGAGATGATGACTTTCGTTCAAAAATTCGGCTTATTTCGATCCGTTCTACAGATCCAAACAACAGAATTGTTGTACCCGCCTATCTGTACACGAGCTCTCTCTCGATTATTTACATATTCGAGGCTCGGTTGGCGCGTATCCACTCGTTCAACGTCACGCTACATCGACGCAATTCTGCTTCTGTTCTCCGCCATATTTTCGCGAGGAAAGGTGCACACGTAGCGGAGAAGGATTCCCCGGGGACGGTTTTTTTTATTTATCGCCGTCGAGTCTCGCGATGGAAGACGTGGAGAAAGAGGAGGATTCTCCGTTTCTCTTCTCCCCTCGCCTATTCTCTCCTTTATGCTTTCTCTCGAGAAATCGTCTCCTCCTGAATTCGAAACTGTCGCGGAGCGTTGCGCGTGTCACGGCCTTGAAACGAGATAAATATTTTTTCTCTCGAAATAACAAACGCGAAAATTGAGAATAGAGAGAAATTTCCTCCTTCTTTCTCTTTCTTGTTTCTTTCAATTCAATTCCATCGTTGATCGCTGCAAGTTAGAAGTTATTCCTTCGAGAAAGTGAGAACGGACGAGCGAACGTGATAAATTAAGACGTCGTGGCGCAATTACGAGGAGCGAAGATTTCTTCCCGTACGATTCAACCCGTTGTCGCGAAAATGGAAATTACTTTCTCTTCGCCCGGCGTGTTTTCGCGCCTCTCGTTCGCGCCATTCTCATCTTCTTGCCCTTGAACAAGGGAGGGGGGGGGGGGGGCAAAAATATTTCCCAGGGAAAAAGAAGAAATTCTCCGTGGAATCGTGGAAAAACTCGAGCGTAGAACGAAAATGCAGATTTTTTTTACCTATCCCCCGTTTCCATAAACGTTCGCCGACTTATTATTACGTGTTGTTTATGGTCCACAGGTTTCCACGGGAACAACAAACCCTGCCCAATCACTTCTATTTCACCGATTTCGAGAGGCATACGGCCGAGATCGCCGCGTTTCATCTGGACAGGTAATCTGATGCTATTTTTATCGAAGAAAGAAAAAAAGGAAAAGAATGCAAAAAAGGAAAGAAATCGAAGGAGTTTGTTCTCTCGTGAAAATGGAAAATGATAAAAGTTTGGCCCGTTACAGGCTGCTTGGATTCAGGAGGGCGATGCCGGTTACAGGGAGAACGTTGAACCTAACGACGGAGATTTATCAGATCGCCGACGGCGAACTGCTGAAGACGTTCTTCGTCAGCCCGGCCGGTAATATCTGCTTCCACGGCAAGTGCAGTTATTATTGCGATACGGCGCACGCGATTTGCGGAAATCCGGACACCCTTGAAGGGAGTTTCGCCGCTTTCTTGCCGGATAAATCTTTCGTCGCGAGGAAGGCGTGGAGACACCCCTGGCGGAGGAGTTATCACAAGAGGAAGAAGGCCCAGTGGGAGCACGGTGAGATTCTTCCACCGCCATTTATCATTCACATTTTTCCTCGATTATTATTTATCGCGCGCTCCCAATTCTCCCAACAATTCTCTGGAAAAATACAGACTCCTCCCTGCACGGTTAATTCGTTTCGCGAAATTCCGTTTCGCGTTAAATGAAAACCAAAAAAAAAAAAAAAAAAAAAGAAAAGAAAGAAAAAA